TGTTTCTCCCTTTTGGCTAGCACCAAAAAAGCGGGCACTCAAATATTTTACTACCTGCGATTCCCTTTGCTTGTCTCATCAAATATTTAAATGCCAATTTCACAAATATTCTATGGCCGGCAAATTCAATTTCCTAAGTGTAATGGCAGCAACAATGGCAAAAAAAAAAAAAAAAAACAAAAAAAAAAACTGTAGCGGTAACTTATTGACTCAGTGGAAAAAAGCTGGATTTAAATAACACAAAAGTAAATTGAAAATACAATGTAAATGTACCGAGATACTTACGACCAAACAAAAGTATGTAAACTATTTACTAGTGAAATCAAAACTGCAACAGCAACATCAAAAGATTTTCGATAGAATAAAAAGCTGAGTGAATATTGCAGCAACCTTGCCGTTACCAAAGCAATTTTATTAACTGCAATTTCAACAATGTTTACAGATACCCAGATATTGCAATGAAAATGCAAAAATAAATGTAGATGCCACTCGGCTATAAAAGCTGTATCAACAATTGTTACAACCATAACCATGAGAGCAACAAAAAGCAATGACAATGGCTAGTAAACTTCAATTCAAGAAGAAAAACAAAATAGAATGCTATAGTCCAGTTCCCCATCAGATACCCGTCACTCAGCTAGTGGAAGTGCAAACGAGAAATTTCAACATTTTCTGGAATGTGGGCGTGGCGAAAAGATTTTTGTAAATCTATAGAAATTTACAAGATATATACAAAAGTGAAAAAATACCACATTTTTCCAAAGTGTGGGCGTGACAGTTTTGGACGGGTATATTTGCAAAATAATTAAATTAATAAAATGTTCTAAATTTGAATGCTGATTTTTAGAGAATTGCTCCAGAAACATTTAGAGGTATGCCACTTCAAAATCCGATTACGATAAATTGAGTTATGGACTTTAAAGCTTCAGCCCTGGGCCATATTTTCATTTTTTCGAATTCTTGCAAATCATAACATCAGAAAAAATTACAAAAATATTAAAAAAATTAAAATTCTAAATTTGAATGCAGATTTTTAGAGAATTGCGCCAGAAATGCTGGCTTAATCTCAAAATTCTAGATTTAGTAGTTCCTAAGATCGAGGCGTTCAAACGGACAGACGGACATGGCCAGATCGACTCGGCTATTGATCCTGATCAAGAATATATATATTTTTATATGGTCGTAAACGCTTCCTTCTGCCTGTTTCATACTTTTCAACGAGTCTAGTAAACACTTTTACTCTTCGAGTAACAGGTATAAAAACAAACATTTGAAAATGTCTAAAACTTTATAGGGCATTAAGAAGCGCATCATAATCATAAAAACAAAAGCTTGTGCGAACAAAAACTCTTAGCAGTTGAACTATTTAAAGTATTGCCAGATATGACATTCAGATAAAAAAAAACAACTTTGTAAACAATGAAAATAACATACTATTGTATTGTTTTCATTTCTAGCATCAACAAAAAGCGTATAAAATCGCATAGCTATGACTACCATATTACTCATGTTGCTTAACAGGTTAATCTGTATAAATGCGTGATATTATTTACAACGCAATAAATTATCTTTTATTTTATCATGCGTAGTGCAACTGCATACCCTCACCAGAAAAAACATCTAAGGTTCATGTTCACCAGGCCACTGAGACTTTAAAATACTTCTGCGACATGCATTTCGTAACTTCTTGAACGCGGTTCCTAAATTTCTCCTTTGTCCAACAGCCATCAAAAGCCGAAATGCCCCCAAACTGAAGATAGTTGTGGCACCCACATCCGTACACCTGTAACCGTGCACTGCACGTATGTGTGGGCTTAAGCTATATAAATGCTATATCTATGTGTTTCTGTGTGTGTGCGTGTATTCCCCATAGATAATAGTAAGTACATGCAACAGAAGCCGCGAAAGGATGCCTGCCAAGTTTTATGGCCGCAAAGTATGCAATAATAAATTGAGCAATTGTCGCTGGAAAAGGAAGGGGGGGTGGCGGGGTCGGTGCTGGGTGGTCGGCAGGTGGGCGGGGTGGCGTGTCCTCTGGGGCTGAGGCTGCCACTTGGCGCGCACGTAATGAGCATATTTGTAGCACACTTCTCGGCATACGTGTGCGTGTGCGTGTGTGTGCGTCCTTTGAGGGAAAGTTTATGCAAGTTATTTTTACTCTGTAACCCGGAAAGTCGGCAGCCTCACTTCACCCTACGCCCAGGAACCTTCGAGCTGCTAGCCGAATTTCCGCTCGATTCCGGAGGACGCAGGTGCAGGTGCTGAGGCGTGGCACTCGCCGAACGGAAAGCAAAAAATATAAGCGAACAAAAAATAAGAAAGGAAAACCCCCAGCAAAAGGACTGTTGTCATACACTTCTTGGCACAAAAACTCCTGGGAGGCACAAGTGGAGGAGAGGGTGCTCTGCACCAATATAGAAGGACGATTTGATTTCGTTTCGTGTTGTTCCTTACCGCCAGCGTTTCCCGCCCTTCTGCTCCTTTTCGTGCTCAAGTTCCTTTTTTTTTTTTCTTTGGTATCTGCATTTAATGGTCGCCGGTAAAAGATGAATTCAAGTGCTTCGATTTCGCGAAAAGTGTTGTGTTCGAGGGCTTTGAGCCAGTGAAGAGGTCGCTTTTCAGGGCGGTCTTATAACCTGGTACTCGGCACTTTAATGGGTCGTGCCATAAATTCGCATTTTATGGCAGCCACTCCATTGAAAATGGAATAAAGGCATCAAAGCTTAAAACTAGTCATTTCCCAATAATATATTTATATATATATTTTTGAGTATTTATGCAGTTGTAGTACGTTTCCTGCCTGCATTTTAACTAGAGTCCATTGATGGCCGTATCCTTTCACCTCGAGCACCTTCCTCCATTTGATCCGTCGTCCTTGGAGCTTCCCTTCTCCCAATTCGCCAGTTGAAAGTTCAAAAGCGCAAAGAGCGTAAATTCATTAAACATTCGTGGAGCGGGCGTGAAAGTATTTTTTGTGCGTTTTTTTTTCGTCGTTTTAGACTCCTGGCTGTGCGCTTGTTTGTGTTTGTGTGTCTGGCTAACAAGCTCTCCAAGTTTAACAATGAGCGAAATTTCGCAGCTCATTGAATTTGAAGTCATGTGTAACACGACAGCGGCGTCGAAAAGAAAGCGGAAGAAATCACGGGGCTGCCAGTAATCAGTCAGCTATACATATATATATATATATATATATATATATATAAATTTATACTGGATATACATGTGCATTTCGTATATATGATAAAGCTGGAGGGAGGGGCGGGCGGTCACATAAATGTCACACAAAGGACTCCGACACCCGTGAAGAGCGTCTGTCCCAGACTCCGCATAAATAAAAAGTAAAGTAAATACAACGCCGCCAAGGCGGCGATCTAATATGTACACACAGAAAAATGTTTAGCTATGAAAATATGAAATATTGCTTTACTCTGTCTATCAGTAAATGGGCTTTAATTCTCAATGTAGCTACACAGTGACATTGTGGGATAAGCACTAGAACGTGATCTCGAAAAAATGTAAAAACCTACTTAATGGCTGTTTGTAGTTATTTTAGGCCATCGAAAGTGGAACGTGATGTTTCCGTGTAGCTAAATTGAAAAGCCAACAATGTAAAGTACAGCAACAAGCTGCAAAAACGGCAGCCACTTGAGTTTTGTCCCCGAATTGGAATCAAAGTCAGGTGCACGAGGCCATGGCCATGGTTTTCACTGGGTGGTGGAGCGGTTTTCAGTGGGCGCCAGTAGTGGGTGGCCGTTGGCGGGTGGCGGGAAGTCCCCAAAGTGCGTCAAAATCGAATCGTAGCGAAAAAGAACCTGCGGCCATGGCCCTGGCAATGTCGTCACTCGCTAATTCCATTAGTCTTAGTTTTAGATGTTTCTTGGCTTCCGGCTGCACCGATTCGATGTTAGTTCAGTTGTCTATCAGCTAACAACCGGATCCGTAACGTCTACTTTTGCGTAAAATCCAGTGTGCTTAAAAAACTGCTCCTGCGAGTCCTTGTTTAATAATTTGCCTGCACCTCCGTTTGGGGTAAAGTTGTGCCATGTCAATGAGACAACTTTAAAGTGAATTTTTGTTTTCATCTTTTTTGTATTTATTTTTTTTAATGTGTCGAACAAGTGTGTGTAGATTGCAAATTGGCAGGCGGATTTGTGCGTGCGAAATAAGTTCAATTCGAATGCTAATTTAATTTGAAAGTTTTTCCCCTCTCCCAACAACAAAACTCATTAAACTTTATGCCAAAATTATTCGCAAATTGGCAGGCGATTCGCATTCCTGTAGCTTATGCTCATTCAGAATGCAATTTCAAAATATTCCACGATTTAATTAAATTATTCACTGTCTTGAAACAGACCTTTCAACCTTTCTTTATTTAATCAGTTAGGCAATTTTAAATTGACTCACCTCATTTTCTATTTAAAGGCAGATCGAAATTCAATTTACTAAACGTTGTAGTCATTTAATATCCAAGGGCAGTCTTGTTATCGCCCCAAGTTTCTGATGCTAAAAGTGGCATACCTTGCATAATTAATGGAAGACGATACTCCCTCTTGTAGATATTTTACCACAAATCGAAATTGAGAATTATATAATGCACTTGGACACTACAAGCTGACTACTGATGGTCATCGGAGACAACTTAAAAGCATTTTATTGAATTACCTATTGTAACATGAGCAGTCAAGGCGCACTCCTGATTTTCGTTTCATACACTGCGATAATAGAAGTACTTAGTTTGGAAACTATGAAAAAGTAACAGTTTGATTAAGAAGTCTCGTCGATTTTAAAAGGCTCTATCTGAATTATATCGAATATGCATTTTTTTAAATGTTTTAACCCTGATTTAAATTGGGTTTTTTTCCGCAACCGCAGGATGCCCATGTCTTCATTTGGTTTGTGGCCAGCCGCACAATTATTATTGCAGGAGTGCCCAAACGCACAACCCCAAAACCCGTTGTGCCTGTCATGTCTAATGGTCGAAACTCGTTTTACATTTGCAGCTGCGTCGAGGATTTTGAATAAAAGGGAACCTGCCGCTCTTAAGTCGAGGCAGAAGTGCAGCAAGTGCTGTCGGACCAAGTTCGATTATCCGGAAGCGGACCATGTGATCTTCTATAAGTGCACACATCCGTTGGAAGCATCGATAGATAGAGCCAGTATATACTATGTCCGGAAACTAAGCCGACAGCAAGGAGAGATAGAGAGAGAGAGTGAGAGAGTGAGAGAGAGTGAGCCAGTCAGGGGGACAGATCTTGATCTGGCTTAGATAAATATCGCATGTGCACGGCAACGGAAGCGTCAGCGGCAACGGCAACGGAAACAGCAACGGAAGTGGAAACGGAAACGGAAGTGGCTAAGCTAACGTCACACAGTCTGCAATAATGACCAAGAAGTACGAGTTCGATTGGATCATTCCGGTTCCGCCGGAATTGACCACGGGCTGTGTTTTCGATCGCTGGTTCGAAAACGAGAAGGAGACGAAGGAGAATGACTTTGAGCGCGATGCCCTCTTCAAGGTCGACGAATATGGATTTTTCCTGTACTGGAAAAGCGAGGGCCGTGTAAGCTACAACACTTATTTAAAGTATTACAGAATGCGGTGGCTAAGAATATATTTTCTTTGCAGGATGGCGATGTCATAGAGCTCTGCCAAGTGAGCGACATTCGTGCGGGTGGAACACCAAAGGTGAGTGGATAAATCATATTTATTCCGTGCGGTTATATTTGATTACCAATTAATCCAAATCCAATTGGCAACAGTATTTCAAATCGCAATTCCAATAAATCAAGTTTTCCGCGAATTTGTGGTTTTACAACCATAAAATGGTCAATTTATTCTTTACAATAAAACAATAAAATATATTTAAAGGCTATGAGGGATTAAAAAAGAGACGCCTCACAAAAAAAATAATTTCCTGGAAATAAATTATGTTTTTCACTGATTTATATTGCGGCATGTTTCGCTGAATTAGTGGGCTTAGAATGAAAATTTAAATCATTTTTTGCCGCTGTTTAATTAGTCGATTTACTGTCAATAATGAAACACAATTAACGGCGGAGGAAATTGTAAACTTTTTGTAACAATTAAATATGTATTTTTTCAGAATTTTGTTGCAGTAGCGAATTTGATCCCATATCCGATTAGTTAAAAATACATTTATTTATTAAATTTTACATTTTACTCAATCAGTGTTTATTGTTGAGCAATTGGCTTCTGTTTAATTTTTTGTGCTTTCTTCTTTTCACTGACTACTTTTCCCAATTTCGCCTTTTGCGCGTATTTTCTCCGCCAAGTTTTGACTAAGTGCAGTTGGTGTTTCCTTTATTTTTTCCTATTTTGCTGGCAGGATGAACTATCACAAAGCCATAAAACTGTCGCCTGAGTGTGTGTGTGTATGCGTCGGTTAATGTGTCAATATGTCACTTTTGCTCTCAATTGTTTTCAGCCAGCGCCATTTGTGGATCAAAGTCGCCGTCTTCGACTCGAAACGCATTTGTTCCATGCGCTAGATTTATTGTCACCGACCGGCCACGCCCCCTTCTATATATTCCCTTTAACCCGACATATGGCACGTATATATGCCATTTACCAGGGAGTATATAAGGTGGGAGGCGGACTGATAGAGTGACGTATTTGTTTGTTTGTCTGTCGCCGTCTCCTAAATGAAATTTATGACCGAACAGCAACAGCCCGAAATGAACCTCCATTTGGGCCAAACCATCTATACGTCGTCGGAGTACCCCACACATACATATGTATATAGAGGGAGAGAGAGAAAGAGTCTTCCATATATATTTATGGCCGATGCAGGTGCTGCCCCGAGACTCAAACTAATGAAGACTTGCTGTCCAGTTTACCCCTCTGGTGCCCCTGTCCTTTTTTGACACACTTTTCCGAAGGGAGAGACTGAAAGTGAAACTGAAACGATGGCTCGGTTGAGTGCATCCAACTGGCAACCAATAGGTACGCCCATATTCACTCCCATGCCATCACATTCAGCACAGCCAGAGGACACACCCAGTGCTGCACATTTGGGTTTTGGCGCAGTAGGATCCTCCTTTATGAATTCCTCTTTTCGATTAAATCGAAATTTCTAAACTTGGAAGTGTATTGAATTTCGGGACTTATTTTTACCGACTTTTACTATTGGAAATGATATTATAGCTTGCATTCAATAAGCTCTAGCTACTTTCTGAGCTCGTCTTAAAGCCCCTTTGCAAATTTTCCGCCCCCATCCTCTAAGTACGTTCTCTTCAATTTGCCTTTAAGCCTGGGGCAAACCCTTTGACTATGCTGCATGTGGGTTACAGGTGCATCTGGGGAAAATCAAACTGAATTGTGGGAAATGGAGAATGGGCACGGCGAAAGGGACTACTAAGTGGCTTCCAGCTGCGGTCGCCTGTAGTGCGGTAGTTCAATCGTGAACAGGTTGGAATGCAAAAGGAATGCAGTTGAAAAATATCTAAACAAGTTGAAGCTTCAATGTACCCAAAGTGGAAATAGACAGTATAAAAACTATGTATTTTATGGAAAGTATAGAAATATCGTTAGTAGAGATTTTAATTGCAGGCGTAAAACGAAAAAAGTATCTTGATTTTATTACAAAACTTCAAATTATTTGTATTCATTTTCTGGACAGCATTTTAACCCTTCTTCTACTTCAAACCGCCAACCTCTTTGTGTTCCATTGATTTTGCTCTGCAACAGTCCTCGGAAAAATTCAATTAAAATACAAAATAAACACCAAGGAGCAGAAGTTTCAAGAAACTCGTATGATGATCACAGCTGAGTGCGTGTTTGTGCCAAAACTGTTGACCACAAATAAGATGCCCAAAAAGAAAATGCCAACTGAGTGAAAGCAACAGACACAAAATGCAAAAAGTTTTCAGCCCAAAGAAAACATGGATGGGGTTTTAGTATATCATACACTGACAAAAACGCCTTGCGGGCATTTCTGGTTGCTGTGTCAAGTGGTTCCCTTCTGACACCTTTTTTTTCTCCGTGTCTGTGTGTGAGTGTGTAAGTGTGCGTTTAGTGCTCTGCCATCACTTGAAATGTTTGGTCATCAATATTAAATCAGTGAGCGACACACACAGGCAAATAAATGAAAGAGAGGGGGCATTAGGGACAGAAAGAGAAAGAGCGCAAAGTGTGCGACTTTAGGGCGAGAAAGAGACGGCGTCATTCAGTCAAAGAGAGACAGAGTGCTTCCTGAAAAGCCTTGCACAATGAACCATTAAAACTTGCTTCGTTTGGCAGAGGAAAACCGCATAAAAAAGTCTGGAAAAGAGTGGGAAAAGGAGGGTAACAGAACCGAAAAAAAATATTGAAAACGAAAAATTTGAGCGTGGTTGCAGTTTTTCGTTATTGCCCCCGACTTTTCCTGGCTTTTAGTTTGCTGGCGCTTTTCAATAATGCACGATGCTCTGCAAACGTAACAAAGCGAGTGGCACAAAAAAATAAATAAAATAACGAAGAAAATATATATATATGTATATATATAAGGTGAAGGAAGGAATAAGGGAACAAAACTTTTATAACATTTGCTTTCACTTTATTTGGTTCAAAGGAGCGACAGGGGATAAAATCGTGGAAGTCTGACTTATTTAGCACTCGAAAGTCTGCTGCTTTCTTGCCCAGACTTTCCTCACAAATTGCACTTGAACTGATTGAGCTATTGTGCCTGTGTGTGTGTGGGTGTGTGGGTGTGTGTGTATGTGCGCGCCTTAGGGGTGGGGAAAATTTCTCAATGGGGTCTTTGCATAATTCAACTTCCTTTAAGAAATTCACCATTTAAGTGGAGGACTTTGAAACAGCATTTAAGGTGGTAAACAACAGGTTTCTCTCATACAATTGCACTTATTTAATGACTATGGGTTAGGAAAATCAACTGTTTGAGGTCGCCATTAAGGATATTTTGCCTTACGATTTAATATGTCCACAATTGGTATACAATTTGGAGCAAGATAACAAATGTAGCATACTTTTTCGGGCTCTGAAATGTACGTACCTGCACTTTATTGGACTGCGCAACCATTAAATTGAAATGCTGGCCAAAATTGAAGCCAATTGAAGCTGGCAGGAGGGGAATGTCGAGAGAGAGAGAAAGTACAAAGCATTTAATTGTTGCTGACGGCCGAAGGGAAAATAGAATGAAAATGTATTTGTTTGGCTCCGCGAATGCTGCACAAATGTTGATAAATGTTCTGTGCAAGCCTTGATTAATGATGCGACTGGAGATTAATGTTCTGCGATGGCGATTCCGATACACAGCATTCAGTCGAGATGCGCCAAATTGCAGTCAAATGGGCGGCCACGGGGCGTATGCGCAATGTGCAGAAGAAATAGCTGAGCTGATAATTACTATTTGTATTTATTCTACTCCGACAGGATCCGAAGATACTTGATAAGGTGACGAAGAAGAACGGCACCAATATACCGGAACTGGATAAGCGATCCCTGACGATATGTTCGAACACGGACTATATCAATATAACATATCACCATGTTATTTGTCCAGATGCGGCAACAGCCAAGGTAAGTCACATCCTAATAGGCCGGAAGCGGAAATGACAGGGGTAATCAGGGTCAGGATCTTCTACCCATATCCGTCATTTACATTTCCCTATCGCGACTCAGTCCTGCCTTCCATGTGTTTGAAGTGCGTTTGAAAGTATACAATAATATAGAAAACACAAAAATACAATTAATTAGCCGTACGCAGTGTTTGCTGCTTCAAATCTGGGTGCTGCAAATCTTCTGCGGAACGTTTACAATGCTCCAAAGAGCGATGCAACATAAAACAAACATTGAATGCTCGTAGAAAGCAACGCGAATGCAGATATGCAAAGAAACTGATATCCCTCATTGAAACCACACAACCCTTCTATCGACTCTTCTTTTAGATCTGGCTAGATGGCATACGAAAAATAACCCATAATGTCAAAGCGAACAATATCTGCCCCATGATGTGTCTGCGGAAACAGTAAGTGGGCGTGTTCACTACTTACCTAACCACTTACCCCATCACTACCCCTAACCTTCCCTTACCACCACCACCACCACCACCACCTTTATCCCTTCCCTTAGCACTTGCTGTCTGTCATTGTTCACATTATTGCAACGGCCTCGGTTCTTCCCTTCGTCCTGCATCCTGCATCCTATGGCCCATGTCCTTTCGCCTTGCCACATTACTTCCACTTGCTGCACCTCACTCGATTACACTGTGTACATAATTGCATCGATTGTTCCGTTCTCTCTGTTCTGCATGCTGTTCTGTTTCTTCTTCTTTATCTCGTTATTGTTGTTGCTGCTTATGTCGTTCTCCTTTACGATTGTCTACTCTCTCTCTCTCCACACACATATAATCACATATATATCTATATACAACTGTCTCGAGCAGAGCTGGCAAAAGAACTTGCGTCTCATAACGCATAATAATCGCGCCACGAATGTGTGCCCGCGCGTCAATTTGATGAAGCAGTAAGTATGGTCGCACTAAAATAGAAACACAAGTTTAAGTGAATATGACTCTATGGCACTATGCATTTGTTTTCTATTAAACTGCCCTGAGAAAATTGAAATGAGACCGTATTTTCGATCGCTTGGCCGTCTGGTGTCATATAGTCATAAGTAGAAGGGCTTGAGTAAGGGCAGTACAGAGGGAAAAATACTCACATTCGGTAAGTAGCTAATGATCTAGTGTTGTAAAACGGATAGTTTTAACTGCTGAATATGCGATAAGTACCTTTGCTTTACCCTAAACCTGGCATTTCATGCGCTTCATTTTGATTTTAGCGAGTGTGTGACTTTTCTGTCGTTATTAATTTCCCAATTGCTGATTTCGTAATGCCGAGTGTTCCAATTCAATCCACGGCCCAGGAACTCGACTTTCTATTACTCCCAATATCCTAGTTGATTATCCTATTCCACGGGTGCGTTTCACGTCTAGCACAAAATAAATTCATTTTATTTGCATTTCCTGTGCCACACAAAGCGGGCAAAGTGAAGAAGGTCGGGGGAGATGAAGTTGGTCTTTTTTCCACCGAAGCCATCATGAATAATTCCAGGTGGTGTGGGTTGGAGCTGCGGTGCAGTGTGTGTGTACTGCTTGTTTGGTCAAAAGGCTTCATACCTTATGCGTAGCACATTTTGAAAATAAAGGGTATTATGGGTGTCAGCATAAACAGCGAAAATAAAGAAATTCAGGATGCGATGTCAAGCAAACGCAGCAGCGCATTTGCGTTGCTGATAGTACAGTTTAAAACGGTTTTCCTTTTTTTAACAAAAATAAAGGAAAATGTGTCATTAGCTAAACTTTTTTTTACATCTTCATATAAATAAAAGACTTTTGTAATTGAAGGCCCAGAGACTTTTTGCTCTGTGTGCTTTTAGCAAGCAGAAATGGTTTTAGTTGCAGCTACTAAAGTGAGCGTTTCTAAAGTGAGTTTTAATCAAATGGGCGCTGCAGTGAAAACTGCAACCTCGTCAACCGAAATTGGGTTAAACTGCCCAAAGTTTGCTCGACTCTCTGCCGAAAGACAAGTGCAGCGAATGCACTCAATGGCCAATGTTCGCTGGTCGATGGATGGTGGTCGGTCCAAGGGGTTCAAGGGGTCCAAGGGGTACAAGGATGAAAGGTGGCAGCTAAAATGCGGTTCATTGGATATGCGTTGCCTTGCGGTGAACTCTCTGCCCAGTCGACTGTGTTTTTGGGGTGTCAAAGGGGTGTGTTTACGGGCAGTGGGTGTGTTGTGCTGCATCCGGGATCACACACCTGCCAGCGAGCAGTGAGAAATATAGATTCAGATTAGGGGTTTATAAAAAATATCTAAATATATATAATAATAAATTCAAGTAAATTCAAAAGTTGATATAGAGTCGAAGTAATACCTACAGACCACAGTATTTATTTTACTTTTTTAACTTACCAATACTTTCCCGCAGTGTGCAAATGTTTCTGTGGTCTTTCGGGCGGAATGGTAAAAAGTTGCAAAGTGCACTCAACGAACAATCGTGTTAACCACCGACGTAGCCAACACCTTGGCCAAATGGGAGGCGGCAGAGGTGGCAGTGACGTGAGTGGGCGTGGCACGGTAGCAGTTGCACGTTTGTATTGTAAATTAGTTGTCCTAGTTTGCAATTTGTTTCTGATTGCATTATTTATGCGTCATTCGGCGCATACGGTTTTGCAATTACTTGACCCAAAACCGAAGGATGGGCCACACTCCACGGTTGGATCCATGCAAATTGGACACAAGTGCGAGCGGCCCTCGATTCAATTAGTTATGAGTTCTGTTTTCGGAACGGTCGTTAATCATCTGCGTAATGGATCGCCTGGAATTGATTGCTAATCAATATTTGATTCGATTACCGGTCAGCTTAGTTCACTAAACAGTCGTTAAATGAAAGTGAAATAGGACTCGGAATGGCAAGGACTTTTGGCGTATTTTCAAGCCAATTTGATGGCAATTTCCTTTTGCCTATGGAAAACTCTTAATTATTATTTGCTTACGGTTTTAAGGGGACTTTTAATGCGATAATAAATGCATTACAATCTCATAAAATATGTTTGCATATACAGATATTGATATTTTACTTTCCTGTTTTGTAACACCTTTGCCACTTTTACCACTTCTCTTTTTGCAATACCTTGTATACTATTTAAACAATCATTCGTTATATTAGCCTGACTAACATAAAGTAACTAACAAAAAGTGTAGTTTAATTAAGTTTAAATTTCTCCAGCTATGTTAGCCAAGGTATGTATATATTTTGAATGTTGTTATCGCTGTTGTCGTTTTAATTGCATCATCCAAACACCCCAAAATTTCAGTTTCTTTCCGAGTAAAAAGTGCAATTAAAACTGACCTTTTTTAATTCCTAAACCAAACTATAGTTGGATGCGATTGAGCTACTGTGTAGAGAAGAGCGGCAAAATTCCGGTTAAAACGCTGGCCAAAACCTTCGCATCCGGCAAAACGGAGAAATTGGTGTACACGTGCATAAAGGATGCCGGTCTGCCCGATGACAAAAACGCAACGATGACCAAGGAGCAGTTCACCTTCGACAAGTTCTACGCATTGTACCACAAGGTGTGTCCCCGAAACGACATTGAGGAGCTCTTCACCTCCATGTAAGTAGAAACCCCCGACCTGAAGAATAATCGTAATCACTTGGCCTTATTTACTTCTCAGCACCAAGGGCAAGCAGGACTTTATCAGCTTGGAGCAATTTATCCAGTTCATGAACGACAAACAGCGGGATCCGCGAATGAACGAGATCCTGTTCCCTCTCTACGAGGAGAAACGCTGCACGGAGATTATCAACGATTACGAGCTAGATGAGGAGAAAAAGAAGAACGGTAACAGTTCACAGTTCACAGTTCAATACTTGTGTGAATTAAAATTCAATTAAATTTCAACACAAATTTAGTTCAAATGTCGCTGGACGGATTTAAGCGCTATTTAATGTCCGACGAAAACGCACCCGTATTCCTGGACCGCCTGGACTTCTACATGGAAATGGATCAGCCACTGGCCCATTACTACATCAACAGCTCGCATAATACCTATCTATCCGGTCGCCAGATCGGCGGCAAAAGTTCCGTGGAAATGTACCGCCAGACACTTCTGGCAGGCTGTCGGTGTGTGGAGTTGGACTGCTGGAATGGAAAGGGTGAAGACGAGGAGCCAATCGTCACTCACGGTCACGCCTACTGCACCGAAATCCTCTTTAAGGTAAGACCTTAACGGCAGGATGTAAGCCCTACAGTTCTTCAATAGCTGCAAATTGCCAGCACATTTTACATGAGCCTGTTTTCACTTGGTAAAATTTGTTTTTAATTGAAACATTAAACATTTCACATGTAATGTCAGTATTCTCAATGGTCCAAGTAAATCGGCTTCGTGCATCTTATGTGCACAGTCCGTTTGGGAATATGACTGCATTGTTTAGAAACTTTGCAGTGGTAAACAAATTACACACAAATTTGTACTAATTATAGCTGCGAGAATAATTTTGTTTCAGTTGACTGAATAGTTTGAAAACCATTTTAGGGATTGAACGTTGAGTACAGGAAGGAAAAGCTTTCGACAACTCTAATATACATAGGTTGTAAATTGTATTAAACTTGTATATTTGCATTTGTAAAAAGTTTGGCTTGTCCTATTTTTGTTACTCCACACAATCGTTGGGTAAAGGGGCACTAAACGGATTAAAAAATATTAAATATGGTCTTTCAATATCCCTTGCAGGACTGCATCCAGGCGATTGCGGATTGCGCTTTCGTGTCTTCCGAGTATCCGGTAATCCTGTCCTTCGAAAACCACTGCAACCGCGCCCAGCAATACAAGTTGGCCAAATACTGTGATGACTTCTTTGGCGATCTGCTGCTGAAGGAGCCGCTACCAGATCACCCGGTAAGTGGGGATAGTCCCAACCGATTGGTATCACATTGCTAATCCATTCGCATATCCATTTAGCTGGAACCGGGTCTTCCGCTACCGCCGCCCTGCAAACTGAAGAAAAAGATCCTCATCAAGAACAAGCGAATGAAGCCGGAAGTGGAAAAGGTCGAGCTGGAGCTCTGGCTGAAGGGCGAACTCAAGACGGATGACGATCCGGAGGAGGACGCCAGTGCGGGCAAGCCGCCGGAGGCAGCCGCCGCTCCCGCTCCGGCCCCAGAAGCAGCCGCCGCCGCTGAAGGAGCCGCCGAGGGTGGCGGTGGTGCGGAGGCCGAAGCCGCCGCTGCCAACTACAGTGGCTCCACCACCAATGTGCATCCGTGGCTCTCCTCCATGGTCAATTACGCGCAGCCCATCAAGTTCCAGGGCTTCGACAAGGCAATCGGTAAGGGAGGGACCATTGTGTCAATGTATATATGTGTTTTTCATACATTCCATTATTAATGCATAATAATTTTGTCATACCCACAGAAAAGAACATTGCCCACAACATGTCCTCGTTTGCGGAATCGGCGGGCATGAACTACTTGAAGCAGAGCTCCATCGACTTTGTCAATTACAACAAGCGTCAGATGTCGCGAATTTATCCGAAGGGCACACGAGCGGACTCCTCAAACTATATGCCGCAGGTGTTTTGGAACGCCGGCTGCCAGATGGTCTCACTCAACTTTCAGAGCTCCGATCTACCCATGCAACTTAACCAGGGCAAGTTCGAGTATAACGGCGGCTGTGGCTATCTACTGAAACCGGATTTCATGCGTCGAGCCGACAAGGATTTCGATCCATTTGCCGATGCGCCTGTGGACGGCGTGATTGCAGCCCAGTGCTCTGTGAAGGTGATAGCCGGCCAGTTCTTGTCCGACAAGAAAGTGGGCACCTATGTGGAGGTGGACATGTTTGGATTGCCCTCGGACACGGTGAAGAAGGAGTTTCGTACGCGTTTGGTGGCCAATAATGGCCTGAATCCAGTTTACAATGAGGATCCGTTTGTGTTCCGCAAAGTGGTACTTCCGGACTTGGCTGTGCTAAGGTTTGGCGTTTATGAAGAAAGCGGAAAGATCCTGGGTCAACGTATCCTGCCGCTGGACGGTCTACAGGCTGGCTATCGTCATGTTTCTCTGCGCACGGAGGCTAATTTCCCCATGTCGTTGCCCATGTTGTTCGTGAATATCGAGCTAAAGATCTACGTACCTGACGGCTTTGAGGACTTCATGGCCATGTTGTCGGATCCGCGAGGATTCGCCGGTGCCGCTAAGCAGCAAAATGAACAGATGAAGGCCCTCGGTATCGAAGAGCAGAGCGGCGGTGCCGCCCGAGATGCTGGCAAGGCCAAAGAAGAAGAGAAGAAGGAGCCACCATTAGTCTTTGAGCCCGTCACGTTGGAATCTCTGCGCCAGGAGAAGGGCTTCCAAAAGGTGGGCAAAAAGCAGATCAAGGAGCTCGATACCCTGCGCAAAAAGCACGCCAAAGAGCGCACCTCGGTGCAAAAGACCCAGAATGCGGCCATCGACAAGTTGATCAAGGGCAAGAGCAAAGACGACATACGCAACGATGCCAACATCAAGAACTCTATCAATGACCAGACGAAACAATGGACCGATATGATCGCCAGGCACCGCAAGGAGGAATGGGACATGCTGCGCCAGCATGTCCAGGATTCGCAGGATGCCATGAAGGCGCTGATGCTCACCGTTCAGGCAGCGCAGATCAAACAGCTAGAGGATCGTCATGCCAGGTGAGATTACTACCACATTACTACTACACATTCTAAACAACAACCCATTTCACTTTGTTTGCAGGGACATCAAGGATCTGAATGCCAAACAAGCGAAAATGTCGGCGGATACCGCCAAGGAGGTCCAGAACGACAAGACCTTGAAGACCAAGAACGAGAAGGATCGTCGGCTGCGCGAGAAGCGTCAGAACAATGTGAAGCGCTTCATGGAGGAGAAGAAGGTGAGTTATGTTCGCTCCATAATACCTTAACTGATTTTAACTCATATATTCCTTCGCTTGCAGCAAATCGGCGTTAAGCAGGGCCGTGCGATGGAGAAACTAAAGTTGGCGCATTCGAAGCAGGTCGAGGAATTCAGTACCGACGTGCAAAAGGTACTGAACGAAACTCGGCCGCAGACCGACACTATAACCAGTATTGAGACTGTACTTTAGACAACCACACCTGTACAGCTAGAAAGCGATAAACCGTAAACGATAAACGATATAATCTATAACCTAACAACAAAATATGAATCAAAAACGATACAGAAAACTCGAAACTGAAACCAAAATGAAGATATGCATCCCAGACACGATTGTAGTTGCTGTAGCCCCTTAATTTTCGATCGAGAGAGTGTGAGAGAGAGATTATCGACTGGGGATGCATCTTCCGATAAGCGATAAACAATAACCGATCACGAACGAAAACCCAATCTAACCGAACCCATCCGTACTAACCTGAAAAGTAATCGATCAGTCAGTAGCTGCTAATCTTTCACACTAAATACTAAGATGTAATTATCTACTGTTTCCTATATATGTATTATATATTTATTGGTACATGTTAATTTTGTTGATTCATCGTATGTTCTACTTTTCCCTTGTTTTCGACTTGTCCCAATGATTTCGCGATCCTATAGAGGAGAGCATTTTTATTTGATGTGGTTCCTAACTTTTTCATGCTTTGAAAATTTATTTTTATATTTTTATTTATTTGACGTCCAAATATTTTTGACCTAAAAAGATTTCCATTTTAATACTGAGTTGGCTTAACACTTTATTTATTTTTGCTTTTCTGTGCTTTTTCATCATTTTTGTGTGCTTGTATTCACTGTATCCCTAAATCTTCTGTCTTCAGACTGTCCTTTTTCCCACCAATAATTGTAAGTGTTATATTATTCTTGGCTTGAATCCTATTAATCCGTATACCAAGCCTTCGGCTCCACCATCGAACTACCTTATGGATCTCTCTCTGTCCCTCTCTCTCTCTCTCTCTCTCTCTGTCACTTTCACTCTCTTAATCTGTCTCTGTCTGAAAGCCCAACTTGTCACGCCCCTTTAACGCCTAGTCATTTATCGTTTGCTATGTCACCCAAATCGCAAATGCCCAAGTAATTGAGAAAAACTAAAAGGATGTTTATATGTTCTCTTGCTCTATCTTTCTCCCTATCTCTCTCTCTCTCTCTCTCTCTCTCTATCTGTCTCTTTCCAACACACGTACACATGCCCATTGTATCTCTTTCGATTTAAACCACCAAAAATCACACAATTTGTTTACTTTTGCGATATATTTTGTATTTGCTGTCTCACACGCTGCCGTCTGTCAACCAAAATCCAACTGCCGCTTCAAAAACAAGCTTATGGACATGTACAAAATCGAGGAGGAGGCCTATAAGACGCAAGGAAAAACGGAATTTTATGCCTAAGATTCCCAGGTCGTCAATGGTCAAATGGGGAAAGAGCACCGCGATACCAAAAAGAATGAAACAACACTAAGAAATTAGAAAAAAAAAAAAACAAAAAAAGGATACTGATTTAGCTGAAGATGCTAACATATAAACTTTTCTTTATATACTAGATTTACACACTCATCACTCGAAAACACACACTCGCCCACATTTTAAAGAATTAACTTTACTTAAAACTATTTATGTATGTTTTATGCCGGAAGCATAAGCTTATATTCTTAATACCTAGAATTCAAAAACTGGAAAGTCAACACTTTGTGCTTTATATTTATTTAAGATTCTGATGAAGATAAGAGGATAAGGAAAAAAGAGTCGATGAGAAGGCCACACAGTAATGTGTGCAATTTATGGGGACTTAATCCTCTCGAATCTATTGTAATTTATTTTGAAAAACAAGAAGAAAAAAAACAACATGAAAACTAAAGAATACCAAAAATCTTGTAAGGTATTTGTGCTAACAACACAATAAAAACGGTACACCGATAAAATTAGACCACACACAGTGCGTTTCGCTACTAAAATAACTATCTTTTCGTTCTTTGAGCAGTGAACGCACTGTACACAATCATATATGTATACATAACACCAACCTAACACCCTGCCCCATATAATCGTACGTTTCAAGTGAAGAACTTACATGAGTTTCCGATTCTCCACCTAATAGCTTAGCCAATTAACTAACCAGTAAGCCGAATCCATCAATTAACCAGTTAAGCAATCCAAGACGCCCACAAATAACCGGACACCCAAACAACCAGACAGAAATGTATGTGTAATTCGGGAAAACTATAGTAAGAGCTGGAGGTTTTTTTTCGAAGAGCATTTATTTTGCAGAACCTTCGAAGGAAAACGCGAAAAGCCCTTTCATAAGTCATAAACGAAAATCGACGCAACTTGTTTATATAGTATATGTTATAAAACCAAAGTATTAAATGTGTAATTCAAACAAAGAAACACCCCTACCGGCAGTTAAATATCCAACACGCTCACACACCCAACACAAAAAAAATATAATAATTTCTGAGCTGAACATACCAAAAACGAAATGGTTTACATAAAATGTACATTTTTATCCGCTCTGTATTAGTTCCGATCTTATTTCCAATTTGAAACCAGAACGAGATGAAGATATTGCGATTTGTACTACCAAAAAAAGTAGCCAAAAATATATACATTATATACACACAGAACAAAAACACGAAAGCATACATATGTAGATCTAGTGAATATTATACCAAAGTAAGAGACAAAAATAACACTTAAGATAGATTCTGTTTGAATTGTCAAAAGCGTTTACGTTGCGCTCAAAATTTGCTGTTTGCATGTATTGTAGTTGTTGCAAAACCAAACGAAAAAATTAACAAAATGAGAAACCGAAAATGTAGAAAATTAAATGAATGAAACTAAGGCAAGGATGCAAAGAAAAAATGTAATTTCCCATAAATTTTGAATTGATTTTAAACATGAATATGTGCCCTAAAGATCGAAGACGGAGAAGCGTTTACACTGTGCTATTAACGAATCGAAAACATTTAGTTAACTCATACAAGGTAACTACTAAATAATGTACAATATTTAACCTACGCCTATGACTATGTATTTAGAGAATTGATCAAGTTTTATGAATGTGATAAGCGGTTACATTTTATTACACGAACGCGAAAAAAAGCGAATCCCAACTACTTTTATCTCCAATACTTTCGCCTTTGCCAACACTGTCTTATTATCATTTTTCCCCAAGGGCACGAGTTGAAGGTTGGATGGAGGAAAACGAATGCAAAGCTTTGTATGATATGTAATATAATGTGCCAATCCCAATGTTAACCAAAAACGAGAAAGTGAAATGAACATTGTCTATCTGAGATCGCAACTAATTTATTTATTCGCTCGTATAATGTATACATTAGATAGAGGCCTAGCCTCTTAGTCGAAAAGCCCTCAATTTGGCACACCTGTAACCCACAATGCAAAAACAAAATATTACATCAAAGTTCTGAAAATATAGTGGCGCGGGTAAAAACTTTCGCGGTAATTCCTTCAAGGACTTGCTCCTTTTTTTTCGAAATTGTTTTGATGACGTTGCTCAACGATGTTTGAAGTTACCAATTTTAATACCATTATTCATACATTGGCTTCTCAAAAGCACTATTTTCCCCAAAACCAAAGAAAGCGTATAACGAAAACAAACATTTTTGCCATATAAAACCAAACTGGATCATTGAAGGTCAATTTAGAAAACTTTACCCCGCCAATTGCATGGATTCTCTACACTAAGTAAAATGTGTCAATTTTGTAAGTTTTTTTTTTATTATTTAATTTTTTTTTTTGTAATCTTAATAAGTTGTAGTCTTTAATGAAGCGATAGAGCAAAAATGTTACAGGATATGCACGGTGGTGTAACCCGTGTACTTTGGGCCACATTGTTGTAGTTTGTACGTCTGTGAGAGCAAAACCCCCGAATATGATTATGAATAGCGATAGCGAGCGAGAAACATAACCCGCGAATGTATCTACTATCTACGTATTTATTGATTTTGCGAACAAACAGAACAAATGCGACTTCTGTATAAGTATGATTACGAAAATAAAATGTTATATGAATAGTTTAAAAGAGGTCGCGAGACAAAAAGGTCGATGAAATTAACTTATATTAAAAATGCTGCGTATGAACTTATGATTATATACTATGAACTATATATTAAACTATTATGATTACCATTATTATCTTTATTATGATTATTATTACGATTGCTCCGATATCGAATAACTTTAATTGCAATAAATTCTATTCCAAAGCGATTCTAGAGATTTTCCATCGATTTTCTCTTAAGTTTGATTTCCAAAACAATAACTATTATTTTAAAAGTAAGCCATTATTTGTGGCCAGCATTAAGCTTCCTTTATATTTTAGTTTTAGCCTGATATCACCGCGTTCCTGAGAGATGTGCTATATGTTTGAACCCGACAATTCGGCCCATGTAAAAAATAGTTTAACTTAGGATCCTACCAAGTTTTAAGATATTGCGAACTTTCGCAAGAAACCAAATGAACCTAAATGTTAGAACAGCCTCACACACTATGCATCATATATCCAATCCAATATATACAGAGACAGAAACGGATTCTCTATTGCTATGATTCTAGTCCGAGTGTGTTTGTTAATTTTACTGAACAAGCAGAGAACCTAAAGCATACTAGTTAATGGACATTAAATAAAACTCAATATGAAATTTTTTGGGTTGCGTCAAAGATTGTAAAAACAAAAGATTTAACAACTAAGAAGTTACTGGGTGTTTTGGTGGTTATTGGAAATAAATCTTTAAATGAAATATGCCTATCTTTGTCTTTTGAAGTTGGAAAATCACTAACCATACTGTGTTATGAAAATCAAACAAAAAAGTTTTCATTTATTTTAACACACTGTTGCAGCACTAAAACCATTTCATTCACGAAAAATAGCAATGAATTGATGAATAAAACAATTTAATTGATATTTTTCCATGATTTAGAATGATTTTATATATTTTTAACTTGATATTTTTATTTCGTTCGATCGTTTTATTTCGTTCCTACAAAATTACTTGTCTATATATTGTGTGGACTAAAATATCATATTTTATTATTACGTGCAGGCACTAATATTATTTTGTTCAAGAAAATGATTGATTTATTTAAAATCAATACACTAGGTCATTTTGATATTCATAAACTCTTTTTGTTGCACTAGCATGGCTTTATATTTTTTTAACTTCATAAATTGCTAAATTTCGATACTATGACTCGCGTGATTATGTATTGTTTGGACTGAAATAAAACAATCTATTTGATATTTTTCCATGATCTGGACTGCTTTTATATTTTTTAACTTGATATATTGGTTTATTTCGTTCCTAAAAAATTACTTGTTTATATATTGTGTGGACTAAAATGTAATACTTTATTATTACGTGTGTCTATGTCATATTATTCTAGGAAAGATAGCCGATGATTGATTTTTAAAATACAACACACCAGGTATCCTCCCTAGAACACTTCGACATTAAAAATCTCTTGTGTCCAAATAATGCCCAATCTTGATATTATATGCTTTTTATTGTGATTGACAGCACTTTTTTTTAGTTTGGCGGATGTGTTCTTACTCAATCATATTTGTAGGCAAATTTGAAGGAGTTTAGGGAAATAAAATTTCGTTGCCTTTTCATTCATGCGTTTCTTGCAGTGAGTACTTTAAGTTCACATCCATATTTGTAATGATTCCTCGCTAAAATTCTAAACAAAGCACATTTTTTGGTTCAGAATAACAGGCGGCCAATGCGCGCGAATTTACGCTACACATATTTACCCAATTTCATGGCATTCAAGTTTTGCGCCAATGATTGGAGTCTCCGCTGAACGCCTTTCGATAATCATCGACGTTTTGACCCACCTCTAACCGCAGACTCATCTGGTCACTCTACCTCTGTGTTGTTATTGTGCCGAAAGCCAATTTACTAATCCAAAGCACAATATAGCGTATAGCGTATATAGATAGTGCCCTCCAGTGAATCCGGTGACCTGCAGGAAGAATCGGGTTGGTCCCATGAGGTTGTGATACATACATACTTATCGTTTGCGCCGGTGGACAAGATGTGGAAACTGCTGCAGCGCTCGCGGAATGCAGCTTCTGGACTTCCCAGACGGAGGTGTTTCCCAGGCCTGTCGCATGCAGTGCGTCTGGCTAGTGGCCAGATGGATCCGGCGGATGAGCGGGTACTGCGGAAGCGGAAGTTTCAGCCGCAGCAGGCGGCGGATCTCAGCGAGGAACTGGCCGGCCAGCTGCCCGTCAAATCCCGGGTGGTCATCTGTGGCGGCGGCATCACCGGAGCCTCGGTGGCCTATCACCTTGGGCTGAGTGGGTGGGGTGGTGAGACGCTGCTCGTGGAGCAGGATCGCGTGAGTGGCGAGCTGCCCTGGACCGCCTGCGGATTGGCGGGTCGCTTCGAGCCCAGCTACACGGAACTCAAGCTGGCCGAGTACTCCATTGACCTGATTAAGCGACTGGCGGAGAACGGATTACCCACTGGATGGCGGCCGGTGGGCAGCCTGAATCTGGCCCGAAGCTGGGACCGCATGACCGCCTTCAATCGCATGAAATCACAGGCCTTGGCCTGGGGCATGCGTTGCGAAATCCTTTCGCCAGAGCAGTGCGCCCAGCACTGCGAACTGCTCTCCTTGGACGGCATTGAAGGTGGCCTTTGGATACCTGAAGACGGCGTCTGTGATCCGCAGCTTGTTTGCCAGGCCTACATGAGCGAGGCCCAGCGGTTGGGAGTCCGGATAGTCGAGCATTGTGCCATCAAAAAGATCCACAGCGAGCACGGCAAGGTGAGGAGTGTGGAGACGACCGCTGGCGATGTGGAGTGCGAGTACTTTGTGAACTGCACGGGCTTCTGGGCACGCGAGGTGGGCACTTTGTCCAAGCCGGTAGTTAAAGTGCCACTGAAGGCGGTGGAACATCACTATCTGCACACGAAACCCATCAAGGGACTCAGCCCGGACACGCCCTTCGTCAGGGATTTCGATGGACGCATCTTCTTTCGCGAGTGTGAAGGTCACATTCTCGCAGGCGGCTTCGAGCGCGAGGCGAAGATGGTGTACGAAGATGGAGTTATTCCCCTGTCGCAGAAAGCGCGCCAGCATCCGCCGGATTGGGATCACTTTCACGAGCTGCTCGATGCCCTGTTGCTGCGGGTTCCCTCCTTCAGAGATGCCACGTTGGATAGGCTCACAAACTCGCTGCAGGTCTTCTCTCCCGACTGCAAGTGGATTCTAGGGGAAGCGCCAGAAATCCAAAATTACTATGTGGCGGCTGGCAACAAGACCATGGGTGTGTCCGCGTCCGGAGGTATTGGACGCGTCCTCACCGATCTAATAACCAAAGGTTCCACTTACCTCGACCTGCACATCCTGGACATCAGCCGGTTTCTGGGGCTGCACAACAACCGAAAATTCCTGCGGGATCGCTGCAAGGAGGCACCGGGCAAGCACTTCGAAATCAACTACCCCTTCGAGGAGTTCCAGACCGGCAGGAACCTACGCATGTCGCCCATCTACCCGCAACTCAAGGAGGCGGGTGCCGTTTTTGGCCAGTCAATGGGCTACGAGCGACCCAACTACTTCGATCAGCAGGACAAGCACGGTGGGTATACGTGTATAAATCTATTATCACATATTTTCGGTTATTAAATTGAGATGTTCGTATCATACAAATAATGAGCCATTCGATATCATTCACTGAAAATTGAAAAACAGCAGTGAATGGTTCCGAATCGCATATCATGAGCAATTTCTCACACGCCAACGAGTTGAATGTTAACAATAACTTAATAATCCGTTTCGCATTTATGAATGATTAAAGCACATAACTTCGAATCGAATTATTAAATCACTGT